GTAACCTGCAAATGATCCAATAAAATAAATAATAAACAATTAACATGAAGAAATCATAAAGCTCAAAACAAAATGACAATCGTTATATATAAAAAGGAGTAGAAAAGATATAATAATTAATAATATATAGTTAAACCACTTATATGAAAATTATCTGATTACCGAAAATAGACTTAGAACACAAAGAAAATACCAGGTCAAAATTTATTAAGAGGAACTGATCCTGGCTCAGCCTAGGAAACATGGTGATTTTTCACTTAATTTGGAACTTCAAACATCAAGAAAAATATCCAAAATGTTGACAGGAGCTTCACTTCTTTGGATAGCCACCTCACATAAAGTTAAGGGAATCTCCCTCTAAAAAAGGACACCAAGTGCTTCCTGAACAATCGCAGCCCCAGATTCAAAACCATGATATTCTCTCTCATTACATTTATGAACCCAGACCCATATAAAAAAGAAATCACCCCACCCCATCCTACCACCATAGTCTACATCACAAAAAATTAAGAGTCATTCTCATCAGTAAGGTGCAAAAATTAGGTCTCTCAGAAATCTGGATCATGTGACAAAGATAACCACTATCAGAAAATCTTTCATGACCCTTAAGAGTCCTGCCTCAAACTCTAAGAAATAGAGACGACACAAATTTCACCATGAACATTACCCATCCCTCACTCCCACAAACTCCCTACCAACTAAAGGATACAGACATAAAGAAACCCCAATGAACAAAGGAGAACATGCCCAACTTATTAAGCACTCTATTTCCGGATTATCTATCGTATGTCATTATTCAAAGTTAATATTGCAAAAGGGACTACATAATGTGAGACCATCTGGTCCAATCCCTACTCGTCATAAATCCTACCCTTGTAATTCCCAAAAGCCTCCAAAAGCCTCCAAAAACTTGAACTAACACTAGAAGGAACCAGAATCCAAGGTGAATGAAATGATGGAATCCCCAAAACATTAACTGGCTCATGCGATGACAGTCTAAACAAACCTACTTCACTCCACACTACTTGGTCTCTTCGAGGAAGGAATGGTCTAGTAAGCCCAACCTCTTTGCTAATATGTCAAAATTTTAGATGGCACTAAAGGCCATAGAACTCAAATTTTTCTATAAGTAAACTTTCAAGACCTAAATAGAGAACCCAATAAGCTACAGTTATACAGCCTAGAGTATCACTTCGATGCACTTCAAGAGGAAAGTCAAGTGAGGAACACAATGGGTAACAAATCGTGAAACAGGCAGAAGGAATATGTTAATATCTAATAACATTTCAATAAGTATAAAAATGCTAATATGTTAATATCTAATAACATTTCAATAAGTATAAAAATGCTAAGATAATATAAAAGGTCGTAAAGGAATGACCAATTTCAATGTAATACATGTTTACAAAAGAATATCAGTTCAACAAATAAAACCAGTGTTTAAAAACTCGGACCAGTGGGTGAAACCAGCCACCCACAGGTACGAGTCAAACCACCAGTCCAAGTTTTTAAACATTGTAAAACATTTATCAAAAAATTTCTATGGTTTCAGAACCTTTGCCCAAAACTTGGTTCACAATAGTTAATGTCACCATTCACAAAAATGATACCTCTAAAGCTATACAAACAAACACCACTACAAATTTGACTTTACAAATTATATTCTAGACCAATATCAAATGTCATCCTAAATTCCACAGATCTGGTTCAATTATAAATTCCCAACTGAAGTTAATCCACATAGACTGCCCTAGAGCATAACAATTAGCAATGGGATGAGTTTTTTTTTTTTTTTCTAAAATAAGCAGAAAGAAGGAATCATTTTGCTTGCATATGATAGAGTGGCAAAAAATGGCAATTACCAAAAACCAAATCCAAGCCTCAGGAAAACATCACAATATTTGATATGACATAATCGCAAGCATTAGAACCAGCCAATTGGGTGGTAATGAAATTTTCAGTAAACTACCAACCAAGATTTACATGAAATATGAGACACATAATTTTTTCAGAATCTTGAATCTCATTCTAAATCGTATTACACCAATAACAACAGTAATATTACACAGCATCCAACGTGCAGTAATCACATGCCAAAATTACAGGAAGAGAATAACAAAACAAGTTGAATGTCAGAAGGAACCCTTCATAGTGCAAATGGCACTAAAAAATAAGATAATTTTTTTATTGTGATCCTTTAACATGCCAATCATGTTCCAATCAAACCTCCGAGTAAAACATGCAACCAAAATTAACATTAAGAGAAGAAAACAAAAAAAAAAGTGACCTCATTTCTCCTTTCAATATGGGGATTTCAGATAAAGGAGGACAGAGATTAAAGAGTCGGAGAAATAAGAGAGAGAGAATATGATACCTCACAAAACTAATGTGCACGCCAAGACTACGGTGCACAGCAGAGCAATCAATGCAGAGAAATATTCCATATGTTACAGACGCCCATGTCGGATTCTTCGCATTGCAATCAAAACACATCTACCACACAATAATAAAACAACCACATAATCAAAGACAGTCTAGACACAGAAATTAGATGTAGATCCAACAAATTGCATGCAGATCTAAGATTAAGAGGGCAATCCCATTAGAAGCAATAAATTTCAGTAGAGAGAAAAGGAAAAAGAAATGGAGATTACAAGAAATAAAGGGGGGAATCGATACGAACCTTATTCTCAGAACGAGATTTGAGCTTTCTGAAGATGGCGTTCTTGTCGGTGAAGTTGTCCAACGCCATGGCTCTGAGAGAGAGATGGATAGAGAGAGAAAGAGATCCCTGTTATTGGGGCTTAGAGAAAGACAGAGTTCCCCGAAGGAGGAGGTAATGGGGCTTGCCGCTACCTCCAATGGGGATTAAAATATATGGGAAAAGAGCGATCCTTCTTTTTAACAGAGATCAGCGTGCCGTATATTATAATTTATTATTTAAAGCGTGTCGTATTTTGTAATTTATTATTTAAAGCATGCCGTATTTTGTAATTTATATGATTTAAAAATAAGTTTATATAAGGTTGCAACTTTAAAAATGTAGAATTAAAGTTCATCGAAAGTTCATCGAATAAGGTTGTTTTAATTTAAAAAAACCCTTTAATTCATCATCTCGACATCGAGATGTATGAATATAAATAAAAATAATACACCTTTTAACACATTATCTAGATAGTCCATTTTCAAGATTTTCACGTGTTTATAGATCTACTTGATTTTAACCATATTTTGAGTTCAAAATTTTATAATTTGATATAAAAATGAATTTTCAGATAATCCTAAAAATATTTTACACCAAAAGTATATGTTATGATAACATTTAGTGGTTTATCTTAATTGAATTGTTTATGGTTGCAACCTTATAGAAACCACATCTTTATTTAAAAGATATGTTTCTATAAGATCTAGATTTTACAAAACAAAATAAAACCTCACCTTAAATCCTCGTCTGGAAAGTACCTTGGACGGCATAATCTATTTGATGGTTCTAAAATCAATTTCCAACACGACCAATAAAATTTGAAGCTAAAAAAATGTACAGATATGTGAATACTTATTTTAAAGTAAAATGAAAGGTCTAGATAATTTGTTACAATATATACTATTTCATAGCTTAAAAATCCTAAATTTTTTTTTTCACAGTCATAATAGTGAAGTTGAGATGATCGATGTAAAATTTTCTAATGCTTAATTTGCAATTTTCGATGAGTAATGAGGTGAGGATTACTTCTGCAGCCCTATCAAACTATTTTCTTTATTTAAATTTTTTTAGGGGTGCATACATATTTAATCTTTTAACTCTTGTCCTCAAAATTTTTATTATTTATTTATTTATTCGTATTTCATATTTCAACTTTTTTGTTTTTAAATTTTAACTTTTGTATTCGTAAACGATGAAATGCCAACTAACCAACCACCGTCGGGAAGGTTTGAGGCGAAATTTAAAGGAGAGTGATAGGTAACCAAGAAACTAACGGCCATCTCTGAAAAGTGGAGACTTATGGGTCCTATGACCACATGATATGTGAGGGCACAGGGTAACCATTGAATCAATGGTTAGACGGTGATGGAGAAACTGCGGACCCGACAAACATGATTTTAATTCAACTATACGCCAACCCATTTATTTGGATATTGATGACCCCTTGTGACCAAATATTTCACTTGATATCCACCATCCGTTGTTCCATCAAGCAGGCAAATTATCAAATGCTGTATGGAGATGTATATTTAGAGGTTACTTCTTAAAACAATAATGAATTTCTATCGAGGGACATAGGTTGTCGTGCACATAAATACGTGAGGTTTGTATAAAGCCGAGGCTCTAAACAATCAAATTAGAGCCTACCTTCAAATAGTGTCGAGAAATGTAGTTTCAAGACCGGAAATCTTTGACTAGCCTTAAAATATATATTTATCTTTAATCATAAAATTTTAAACATAAAAAACACACTGTAGATCGGGCAGATCTATGAAAACTTGAATGACTTAAAAATTGACAGTCAAAAATGCCTTACACGATGTACTATTTTCAAAACTTGAAATTCATTTTTTTCTCAAGTCCATTTGGTGTCGAGATGATCAATTTGAAGATATTTGAGCATCAAAACAACCTCTTCTAACGAAAAATTTGAGGTAGGTACTAATTTTGATTGTTTCGAGCCTATAAACTTTTCCCCACATAAATTAGGGGTAGAGGGTTTGACATTTATACAATCTTGTTCGAATAGCTAGTCGCAAGCTGAAAATAATGTTATATGCAAGTGTCAGCGATTATTATCGTGCTACAATTAAAATATAGAACTATTGTCAGCTCATTAACAGTCCCCCGATCAAGGTGAGATCATCATCGTTCTTCGAAAATATATGTATGTGCATTAGGACCTATAAGAAGCACTTTAATTGCAGGGTTCCCTACTGCGTTAGAATTATAGCTACCGGGAGCGCCCCCATCAACGTGGCGCTCTCCATCCGGAATCTAGCTTCGGCGTTTCATGACCAAGATCTTGGCCGGAACCAATTTATTTTTTCAGGATCTTACTCCCAATTATAGGGTACTCGTCTCGATCCCACCATTGCACAGTGTATGCTCCCGAAGAATGCAGATCCCATTCATAGATAAATAAGATCCTCAATCCCCGAATTTTAGGAGCTCAATCTTTGTGTTAACAAAACTATATTTTAACTTTTAAAGTAAAACAATTATATTTTAAACCAAATTTTTATGCAGTATTTCCAACCCAAAATAACGGTATTGCATTTCTCAAATTTCTTCTAGACGTAGCCAAATAATAGCAATATATGCCCCGGTTGCATCCAGATCGTACCCAAACAACACCATTTCATTTTCAGTTAATATATTACGCCAGTAATGTATTATGCTAGTAATTTGTTTCACATATAATATAGTTTCAGGTACACAAACGGTCAACGTGACGCCCATAGCGTATTATGTATGAGATTTTGAACAATACTAGTATTAACCTTTTCAATAATATAATTGTATGAAGCACTAAAAGAATTTATTTCATACCATATTAATGAAATTTAATTAATCTATGAACATCTAGGATTGGTTGTGAATGGATCCAGCCCCATGAGCCACTGCTACATAGGACAATGGTTTCTAATATAAACCAAAACAAGATCCCGTTTATATGGGAACGGGCTACAGTGTTTAGTAGGATCACAAATCCATGTGTAATGGAGTTGGGTTTTTTTATACAAGTGGAGAATGTGATGGGACTGTGGACCAATCGTGCACAGAACGCGTTCCGTCCTTGAATGGCAATCGTTTCCAAATAAGAACGCAGTCATTCTTAAATGGGGGTGCGACTCAACTTCAAATGGGATCTCATTCTTGTTGTGGATGGGAGCGTGATCCTATTGAATATGGGAATGTGATCCCATTGTACATGGACACGTACCCGTTAAGTAAGGATCTAGATCCCGTTGTATTGGGAGCGCGCTCCCTCTTGATATGGGATCTCAATCCGCTAATTTTACCCTCATTGGAACTTGCTCCTCGAGCTGTGGAGCTTTAGGCAGCCATCAATCCGACGCTCCTGCTTCTGGAACCGGAGCCATTCTTGCTCTCGCTCCCAATAAATATGGTTAGAAACTTAGAATACTACCATAATCTCTTTCCCCTTCGTTTTCTACTCTCCTCTCTTTTCTTTTCCCATTATCATCTCTATTTTTCCCCAGGCAAATCTCATGTTTTGCTTCTCTTGCGTCATCAAGCTTCTTCCATATTGTCTACCTAACTCCAATTTTTTTATATTTTCTTACAGAAGGTTGGGGTTTTATTGCACTCATGTTGTATAGAAATTTAAATTGCTGACGGTAATATTTAGAAGTTAATGGGCCAGTAGAACAAGAGAGACAGATATAGATGGAGGCAAATGGTTCACATTTAATGTATCGGATTGACAGCGGCGAGGAAAAGCAAACACTTTGGAATTTAATTATCTGCTTATCAAATCTTAAAAAGCTTGAGGTTTAGAAATCAAAAAATTGTAAAATTTGAATTTGAATTCAAAAGTTGGTTCTCTTGATGCACGGTAAGAATGTTTGGTGGTGAAAAGGCCATAAGGTGAGCCTATGTAGAAAGAGAATTTTTTTTATTGCCCCTCGGCCATTTCATCATATCTTCCAATGACGAGGATTGTTGATATAGGCCGCTCTCCTTTTCATAGGACCGGATTCAAAAGTGTGCCTTCCATGAGTACCATTGCTCGTAACTCCGAGGAGGTTCATTGGAGAGCAGATGCAAAAGAGGAAGTAGGTGGACAGGAGCTGCTCATGTGCCACGATCCAAAGCATACATGTATGTTATATCAAACAGTCACAATGTGGGGGCTTTACCCATGTCAAATCCCTTCACATGAGCCCGGAATCACGATTGAGGTAAACAAATAGTCCCACAGGAAAGGACGTCTCCCCTTTCTCCCCCATTCTCCCTCTTCACCCACTCCTCAATTTCCTCGATCTCTGTCTCCTCATTGCCCCAGTCGTCTGTTTTCTTCGACGTCCCCCTCATTGTCCTCCCCTCACCTGTGGCTTAACCCCTAGATCTTTAGACCTCCCACTATCCCTCAAATATCTCCTACTCATTACCTTTCCCCTCAGCCTACTACCCTTCCTTTAGGCCTAACCATTCTAGCTGTATCTTCCATTCTCTCCCCCTTCAAGTGTTCAGTCCAACTACACCTCCCCTCATTTCAACCCAACCAGAGTTAATTCATTCCCCAAAGGCCAAATGACGCTAGAAAGTGTCTCCATGACACTAGAAATTGTTGCCACACTTTGAGCAGTGGCGGTAGTGGTTCTATATGTGAAGAGTCTCTCGTTTTTCTAAAGAGACTCCTTGTGTATTTATATGAATGTACATACTAGTTTTTTTATAGACAAATTAAAAATGACAATAATAGAAACCAAATCATAGATACCTAAACCATACTTAAATTTATAATAAAATACATATACTCTATCAACCCTTCCTATAAATATTGATTGCAATATATACTTTCTATATTAACCCGATACACAATATACACTTTCCTTAAACACTATAAACTCTCCCCAACCATGAGCGGTACAATGTCACTATCATAAACCCACTGTTGGAACTTCAAGCAACAAGTTACAAAACGACGTGTGCCCTAAGAGTTGTCTTCCTCCTCATTTTCTGCAACCTTGCACCCATTCCAGTAAGACCCAATTGATATCTCCAAGGATAAATGGAGATATAGCATCCAAATTGACCTGCTTTTGCTGGCATATGAAGAGGGGCATGCCTAGAAGAAGGCGGTTAGGAGCATATGCCAAAAAGGACTTTGTGGCCACATAAGGAGATATCATGGCATAAGAAGGCTGCATCTATAAG